AAGCCTGTTCCATTCAGATCCTGCAACTGACCACAGCCTGGATCCAATGATCCTACTGCATGTGGAGAAAGAAAATGGTAGTTATTTCAAGTTATTTGTTGCTCTGTATTTCAATGCAGTTGCCAAAATTTAACACATTGCCAACTTCAAACAGGTATTAAACACACATCTGAGACACTTTGTGCCAAAGTTTATTTTCCAAAACTTGTTTCATTAACAAAATGGAGGACTCTAAGCAATAGTGTCAACCTCTGCCCTGTTTCATATACTGTCTAGCTATGAAGTGCCAGAACCATTAAATGTCAACATGGAAAGTTCTGTGCTTCAGCAAAAGTTGATTGGGGGGGGGGCAGGAGCAGGACACAGCAATTTAAAACATCCTTTTTGATGGCTGATGGAATTATGATCACATTCTGCAACTTGTTTGAAGGGACAGTACACAGACATTATCCTAAAAGAGAACAAGAGCTGGGCAAAACATGTATTTTTGAGTAGTTCAAATAAAGATACAAAACACTCCATTAAGCCATTAAACTATTTCAAATATGAAATAAAAACTTAACTGAGAAGTATTTCACATAACCAAATACAAAAATATCTACAGAAATCCGTAATGTATTTCCAAAACAAAATACTAAATACATTCATTCAATGTCTCTTAACACTGGGACAAGTAAACATAGTTGTCCTTTTTTCAGAGTTGGACAAGGATTTTAAGAGTGCCTTATTTGTTTAAAAATACCAATTATGTGGAACTTATTGAATTCATCCTGACCAACTGAAGATAAATTGCCTGAAGCAATGATTCCCAAGATCTTATGATTTTTGGTGCCTAATCACAGCAACACGTAAAAAGGGCTTCTCTGCAGGTCAGTTGAGCATAAAATTGATACCTTACTGGCTGAACAACTTATTGACTACTGGATACTCTTCTACAATGTGGAGGTTTTTTCACTGAAGCACTGTAACAGCACTATTTTTGGCAGCTAATACTAGCCTCAAAATTTTAGTGCAGCCGCTCTCAATGTGAGGAAGTCTACATCAGAGGACTCTTTGCTCTTGTGTACATTGGCACGGGGGGCTCTAGCAGCAGGCAACGTATTTAGGTTTGTTTGTTTTTAAATTTAACCTACCCCTTTTAACCCCAGCCAGGGAACGCTGACTGCGGCAGTGACTTGTTCTGTCGGGCAGCAAGGGCTGGACCTGCAGCACCTTCTAGGTAAAAAGTTGCTGGAGAGAAAGCATGCGCCCTGAACGGCAAGTGTTTCTCTCCTGCAAAAGGGAGCTGGCTCACCAGACTCAGTACAGTGGGTTTAGTGAGCACAGGGGCCCGGGATTTCTGCTTGAAAGCCCTGTTCAGCTTCAAATGTATTGGGGCAGCTTGTCTCCCATCATCAAGATGGTGTTACTTGCACACAAAATACAAAAATACCAAATACATCAAGGCAGGGAGAGAAACAGTCCAATACAAAACAATACATTTTCTATATAATTAATCCAGACACACAATGCAATTTAAACTGTGTTTGATGTCTAAATTTCAAACACAAGCCTTTTTAATACTGCCCAGCTCTGAGAAGAGGTACATAAGAATTTTAAAAAGTCACCCTACAAACAGTAAGCTCCTTCCAAATAAATACCCTAAAAAAAGGCACCAACTTGTTACGTTTGGGGGACAATCTATGACAAAATGACCTCTTGAAAAGAACCAACCCAAGTCAACAGAAGTGTTTAGCACCTTGGTTCCTTTCAGTACTCAGATTCCAGCAAATGGTTTCATAAGAGAACATGGTTTAACTGTCTGTAAGGAAGAAAATTCAATTACAAGTGGGGGGGAGGGGAGAAGAGAGACTGTACTAGGTATTGTACTCTTTTAAAATAAATGCACAAGAGATTGTGATGGAGGAATGAGCTACACGACACATACTTAAGCTGTACATTGACAGTCCAAAGTCAAACGACATATTTAGAGTAACATTTCTACTTCTAAGTAATTCCCATTAACTGTAGCAACAGGTACAGTGTCCATTACTCAAAAATATAATCTTTAAAATGGAAATAAAAAGGACAGATACACAGTGCACTGAGATGTCTTCAAAATGCAAGCTGCTTCAAAAGAAAACGTTTTCCCTTTTATGTACAAATATAGCACTGATCCACAGCGCGTTCTACTCTAAATTTGTAACCCCACCTTTCCCTACCATATGTCAAAGAATCCAAAACTGACCCAGGTACCCTGTATTTAATTCTGAAATACAATGCATTTTTTTAAAGGTATGCTTGCTTAAAAAAAAAAACAACCACAAAAACATCACTTCTATATGTCTTTACCACGTGCAAAAAAACCTGTTCCCATCTTTGAAAGTAGAAATGAGTAAGTAGAAAAGGGAACAAAAAATGCTTTCGAAGAGACATTTTCTAATGAGATCATCCATTAATGTCAACACATCCTGGTTTGTTTGGTTTTTTCCTTGGGTCAAACAAGATGAAGCGGTGGCAACCATGTCTGTCTCTCCACCTGTCACCTACAAGAAGAAGTGGGGGGCTGGGAATCCAACTTTGTCAGAAAAGGGCATGCAAGTGAGAGGGAGCAGAATCCTCCCACACTGGATCTTTCTGCAAGCCACTGCTCTGCCGTTCACTCCTGTTGCCAACCTGGCGCATTGCTAGTGTCAGATTGGTGTGTCTGCCGTGTGTGTGTGTTGGGGGGGGGGAGAGATTTAGTGACTGAAAAACGAGGGGAGGGGTCCACATTTGTGTCTTTCCCTCTTAAGACTGAGACCCCACTCATCCACCCTGTTTTACAAGCAAACAGGAGAGGCGTGTATCTAAACAAGCGTGGAGGCTGCCCTCCTTAGAAAGCATCCCCTCAATAAGAGCAGGTTCAGCCCTAGCTTCCCAGCACTCGAAAAACCCCAGGTCTTCCTTGGATTCATGGGTGCATATAATCAAACTGTCATCCCTCTCGGACAGCAAGAAACTGTACAAGTTAAGATCCAATCATCTCTACTTCTTGAAGCACTCAAAGACCGGCTTCCTGGAACTTTAATATCCTGCTGGGTTTTAAAAGCCCTGAACTGCCACAGAATGTTGGGATTCAGCCAATCCCGACACAGAGTTTCTAAGAGGAATGCAGAACACAGTATTGACACAGAAGTCCTTATTTATATGCATGCATATGTTCGCTTTCCTCCCTTTCTTTGTAAAACATCATCTCTCTGTACCAATAGGAAATCAGAGCTCTGTCCAACCAGTACAATTATGGAAAATTACAAAAATAGCGTTAACCTCGGATTGGATCTGGCCCTGACCTGGATCGCCCAGGCTGGCCAGATCTCATCAGATCTCGGAAGCTGAGCAGGGTCAGCCCTGGTTGGTATTTGGACGGGAGGCCACAAAGGAAGTGCAGGGTCGCGACGCAGAGGCAGGCAACAGCAAGTCATTTCCGAGGTCTCTTGGGGTCACCATAAGTCGACTGCGACTTGACGGCAAAAAAGAAAAGGATTCGATCTGCAATACATCTAAAGAGGAAACTGCCTATTTAAGTTTTGGGCCTACTGCAAACAACGAACCTAAAATCAGGTTATGTCTAAATCACGCTTGATTTAATTTTTTGTTAATTTTAGCAGCCAAAATAACTTTTGAGAAGGAACAAGGGTCACCTTAAAAATTCCCGAACGGGCCTTCACACAGCCCTAAAAAGCATCTGTGAAAACACAAGCCACGCGGCTTCACCGGCAAAGGTTTTAGGACCGCAGGCACAAATCTGCAGGCCAAGAGTCATTTACAAAACCCCTCTCTTAATGAACGAGCCATGGTGCTAAAACATTATCCCTTCCGATATGTACAACAAGGAGGAAGTTACTTAAAACTGGTATCTTTAAGAAGGCAGGAATAAACTGGGCGGCATTTTCTTTTTATATCTATTTAGGGACATAATTTAATCTGCCAGTACATCAATGCCCAGATTACACAAAGGGAGGAGCTCTCTAGTATGTATAATGCAAATCTTATTGGCTTCTTTTAAATCTTAGAAACATATATATATCTAACATCTTCCAACAGTTCAATAACGTCTACTAACATCACTGTAAACAACCTTTAGCCAACTGGAAGTTCAACGGAGCACAGCCACTCGGTTGTGACCATACTCAAGTCATTTCAGGCAAGAACAATACATGTGTCATCCCAGCCACAGCCACTCCCCAAGCGCATTTCCAATGAAGTTAACAGTGACTACCTGCTAGTCAGCTATAAAAACTGCTGGGTTCCCGCATCCGGGAACAGCGTGCTACGTCCATCTCCACGGAGACAAGCTGGCTCCTATTCTCAGACGCGACAGGAAGTCAAGAGGCCCGTGCTTCATAGCCAAATTGCTCTGCTGACACAGTTCCTGGCCCATTTTGACTGGGGGGAGCACCACCAGCCACTGTTCGATGCTGCCCTACACCTTGATCCTATATTGTCTGTCCTCACCACTTGGATGCTATTCCCCATCGTGCCCACCTATATAGTTGTTCTCAGCATGGGTTCTGCAATTCAACAGCTGGCTGTAAAACCTGGGGCCTTCCCCACTCTCTGTATCTGAGGGAGGAGCAAGGTTGTTAAATACCATGTAGAGAATACCAGACTAGATAATGTATTTGCTCCAGAGTTTCAATGGTAATATTTACAGTCGGTGCACCTACTGACCTATAATATCGGACCAAATAGTCTTGTTAAACCGAATAAACCAAATATTGCCTAGAGAGCGTCCATCTATTAAACAATCTAACTCCTTAGTTAGGAGATTAACTGCTGAACAGATGAGCTCCAAATTTCAACCTAACAAGGTTAGAATGGAGTATCGAAACTCTTCTATTCTTTCACTATTATAAATTGATTATAAGAATAATTAGGTTATTCGTAGGGTCTACTGGACACCTTTTATGACTATTTAAAGGAACGACCCTATACCTTCAGCACTTTTCATTAGGAGATCATGGAGCAAGTGTTACTTCTGTGTTACGGAAAGAGATCACTCTTTAGTGTGTAAACCATCATACACCGTGAAGATCTGAAAGAGAGGCAAATTTATAAATTCTCCAGAAATTTGTGCATGGTTAGTACAGGTCACCAAGAAATTATAATGAAGTATCTGGATATTTACATTAAAATACATCAAAAGAGGGTGTGTGTGTATACATTACTTCGATCTGAAGCATTTAATTAATATGCACTGGGTCTGATTTTACAGAATTACATAACTGATTGTATAAAGTATATAAATAAATTTCATCTGGAGTCAAAGCTACCCTCTTTCTAAGGTGGCTTTTCTATGCAATCCCCTGCTGTAGGACAGCAGCCAGCATACCGAATAAATTAAGTGTAATTAAACACTATGACCAGAAACTAATCTAATCTCTGGGGGTTAAAAAAAACAAACTCTGCTGCTTATTGTACAGTCCCACACATCACATGGTCACAATTTCCAAGAACAAACATTTCTAGTTGGTTATAATAAAACACATGTTATTTAACACATGTACTGGGCTAAACTGGATCAAAGACTGAAAATTCATTGGAAGTGAGATTATACAATCCTAAATGAGGATTAGTTGAATTAATTCACTAGAATACCCACTAAAACAAGGCCTGTAAATCAGCTGCTCCAGCTTGTTAGGGCTACAATAAATATTGGTTTTGGACAAACCTGAAGAATACATTAAAGCCATAAGCCCTTTAAAATTCACTTTTCCACATTTAATTACTATACATGCATCCAGTTTATGTCTTTGCCAGTACATGTCCAAGATTTTGGTCTAAAACATGGGTTTTTTTCCACTTGCAACATTTAATCCATACAAAGTTAGTGGTTACAAATTCCAAACACATATGTAAAAACTGGTTCTTTTTTTAAAAAAATCATGTTTAGTTTGACAAAACAAGTATATCCTTTTTGAAGCAAGCTTTTTTTTTTTTTTTACATTCTTGGCACAATATCAACAAACACAAAAAGACACTTAGAAAAGAATTGTTTTCTTGCATTTGACACAGCTCGATCCACAAAGGTACTTTTTGCTTCTGTAAGCCCCTTCCCCCAGGTGCGCGGGCGGCACCTTGGAAAACGTTTGGAAAATCAAACACAAGTGTTGCATTTCAAAAAAGGATGTTTTTAATGACAAAAGGGGGTCCAGCTTCAGGAAGACGGCCACGTTGGCATCGATAATGGAACCTTCTTGCCGTCATGGGTACTGCAGTGGGTTTCCAGATCAGAAAATAAATCACTACGGAGATATGAAGGGAGAAGGGGGGACGGGTCTTCGTATGACTTGGGACTGCCCTTCCATTACAAGCTCAATACTTTTCCCTTTTCTTTCCATCTCCCCTTCTAAGTGTGTCCTGAACTGCATGTGTCAAATTACAGTGTAAGTTAAAAGAACATAATCCTTGTATTAAATTTGGGGCTGTTGAGAATCACGGACCGTCCAGCTCCACCAGCATTACTTACTGTGTGCTCTCCTACACTGCTATAAGATTGTGTGCGTCTTCAAGAAGAATAGTTTGAGCTTTTTAAAAAAAAAACACAGAAAAAAACTGAGCTACATTTCTTAAGCAATATAATATTTGCATTTTGTATGTGTTACAAAAAAAGGGAAGGGGAGATTCTGCAGCCGTTTAGCAGTTTAAAGATTTATAAATATTTACATGCGCACGCACACCCTTGCTCGGTTCCTTTCATATAGTGAACAGGCTTTCTTTCTTTTCTCCTTTTGTTCCACAGCAAAGGCCTTGGGCTATGCACAAAGGGTGGAAGATTTCAGGAATATGTTTTTTTTTCCAGTTCTTAAAGTGCAGCACTGTAACTGAGAAACTACTAAGAAAGAAAATGCTGATATCATACATCTTAAATAAAGGGCAACAAGCTTTCCAAACTTGCTGCTGCTGGCTGCATGTGGACTTTTTCTGGGACATGAAGGCATCTCTTGCTAGAGTCAGGAACGATTCTGCTATCTGTACGGGGGGGGGGGGGGTTCAGTGTGAGGAAATGCAGCTAAATGCCATCCATGCCGGAGCCGCATTCGCTACTCTGAAATGTACGACTGTCCTCAGACCAGAGTCAGACTCTGCGCTGCTGCCAAAGTGCAGCTCTGTCGCGCGGCACGAGAAGACCCTGCTGCCACCACGGGGGACTACGTTTCCTGCATAACAGCCTACATCTAGTTAAGTAGATTCACAGCGTTGAAAACTCACAGTACGAAATTTGTGAATGAGAAGAAGCTTGCCTAACCTGGGGCAGGGGGAAGCTGTTCGGATTTCATACGATACTGGCATTTATGATAATGCAAGCGTAGTTATTGTTATTAGGTACCACCGTAAAGTACCCGAAAGATTTATTGCTCAACTTCATTTAAGTGGTGTCATGATTACATCAGTGATTCATCAGTGAGTTCAGGGAGAAAAAACCAAATAAATAGAAAGCGTTACACCTTCCTTTAAGCTTACTATGAGTTATCTACTTGCTGGATGAAAAAAGGCTGCAAGGGAATCCTAAGTAAGTTTCTCCTCTTCAATAAGGGAAAGTCAAGACTTCTTTTTTTTTTTAACGTTTTGCTGACCTTCGGCTTCCCAATGCTTCAGTTCTCCACTGAAAACAGTCTTGCGCAGTTCAGAACCAAACATGATTTCATACCATAGTGACTGTTTATAAGAAGAATCTCTACAGCACAGCAATTCCAAGTAATTTATATTGTATGGGGAGCAGGTATGTGCCCTGGTGAAGACTGCAGTTTAAAGTTCTGTCTTCTTTCTACCAATATTTGGTTGACAAAGTGTCTTGCTGCTTTGGCGGCTCTACATAAACTGTATCTGCAATGCAAGGAGACCAAGCGTAAGTTAAAACAACAAAGAAATGCTACAAAGAACGGCTCTGCTTGCTCAAAGGGCATCCTGTCTGACGGGTGTGAATCATACTAATGGAGGCGTGGGTGCAGAATGCAAACCTCTTGGTACATTGTGAGTTACAAGCAATCCAATCTTAACACCTGAACACTGATCACATTGAAAATTCCCCACTGAGTTGATTCCAGTGAGGTACATCTTAGATGCAACTAAGTCTATTTACTGTACAGAATATTTTGTTGTTGTTGTTGTTCTCAACTGTAAAACAAAATGAGAAACTTCCACTGAGTGAAAGATAGAATAACTACTAGCAAGAAACAAACTAGTTACACTCAGGAGCCTACAGACTCATGGCTGAAGGAAGATGAAGAGAAGAGACTGGATTTATACCCCACCCCTTCACTTCCCGAAGGAGTCTCAGAGCAGCTTACAGTCTCCTTTCCCTTCCCCTCCCCACAACAGACACCCTGTGAGGCAGGCGGGGCTGAGAGAGCTCCTTCGAGGACTGCCCTTGAGAGAACAGCTCGCAGAGAACTTATAACTGACCCAAGGACACACCAGCAGCTGCAAGTGGAGAAGCGGGGAACCAAACCCGGTTCTCCCAGATTAGAGTCTGCACTCCTAACCACTGCACCAAACTGGGCTCTCCAGTAACTGCTACTCTTACAAGGACGTTATTAACGTTTTTTAAAATTCATCTTCCATACCTTGCCTAAATCCGAGGACCTCACAACAGTATTCCGTTGCTGGTTTTGAACAGCTGCTCTGCAGCTCAGGCTGCGCTTCCTACACACACAGCCCCTGATTCGAGATCTTGTGCTAGCCCTGCCGCGCCCCAACCTAACACTGTCCTCCTCCAGTCCAATTTGCTGTCGTCCCCCTCGCTTCCTGTATTGGCCTAGCCTTCTCCTCGTGGGTCCTTCCAAACACACGCCCCACAACGGCTCCCCTGTTCCCAAACTGGCCGTCTCACCTCTCCTACCTCTCTGCCTGCCCTCTTGTCTTCCTTCTTCCTTCCTTCCACCCCACCCCACCCCACCCCCAACTCTTGGAATGTGCCATTTACCTCCCACTGCCTCAGTCCTTTCTCTTCCAACTCCCCTCTAGACTCTCTGCAACCTGGCTTCGACAAGCCACCAAAACCACGTTTGCCAAAATTAGACAATCCCCCTCACTGCCGAATCTGAAAGGTTATCTACCTTTGCCTTCCTCAGTCTCTTCAGGAGAGCCAGTTTGGTGTAGTGGTTAAGTGTGCGGACTCTAATCTGGGAGAACGGGGTTTGATTCCCCACTCCTCCACTTGCACCTGCTGATGTGACCTTGGGTCAGTCACAAGCTGGTAATTTTGGCCACTGTGTGACAGAGTGTTGGACTGGATGGGTCATTGGCCTGATCCAACATTGGCTTCTCTTATGTTCTTATCAGCACTTTGGTCATGTGATGCCTCGTTGCAAACTAGAAGCCTGCAAATATCTTTCAGTGCTTACGGAATATAGTCTAGCCAGCCAAGCCCAGTGAGTAAAACTCGATTAAAAACTCCTTCAGGGCCAAATTAGACTTGCTGGCCACCAGTTAACCCTCTGACTCCAGTCCCACACATCACACTGCAGGGTGACAATGGACAAGACCAGGATGTGATCAACATGAATTCACTGCATCAAAGAAAAGCTTTCAGGACTATTTGGCCACTGCTAACTAAGTGGCCTATAAAAATAATAGGCCCTGCTTGTAACTTTTGAATCTTTTAACACTTCAATACACACACATGGATTCTTCTTTAAGTCAAGGGAGAGTGACAGACAGTGCGGGGAATATTTCCCAAGCCTTCCATTGTTAACGCTCAAAACCATATAATGCTATTTCTGACTTGTTCATACTTTTTCTGCAACCAAAGGAGTTACATTTTTGGGTAGTTTGGCTAGTTTAAAATTTGGGTGAGAGTTCAATTGCTCGCAGAAGAACAGTTTCTGTTAACCAAGAAGTCAATCGCGTCGTTTTGCAAAGGTCAGCCGTAATGGAAAAGTCTGAGATCTATGGGAATTGATAGTGAGCAAGAAAGAAAGATCACGGCCACAAGCTCTGGCACAGCTGTCCTTGAAAAAGAGCAGTTTGTGTCAGAGCTCTCTCAGCCCCACCCACCTCACAGGGTGTCTGTTGTGGGGAGGGGAAGGGAAAGGAGTTTGTAAGCCGCTCTGAGACTCCAAATGAAGGGCGGGGTATAAATCCAATCTCTTCTTCTTCTTCTTCTTCTCCACTGCCTTCTATGCAGTCGACCACAGTTTCAATTCCCCCTCTAGGCCTTAGGTCTCCGTGGAACTGATCTCAGCTGGTTCTCATCAGACCCATCAAATTACTTGTTCGGTGCATCCACAGGAGGAAGCTCAGCCTTCCCCCTCTCTGCTGAAGCTCCTCAAGGCTCTGGCTATTTATTTACGTAAAGGTAAAGGTAAAGGTTCCCTTGCTCGAAAGCCAGTCGAGTCCGACTCTAGGGTTGCGGTGCTCATCTCCGTTTCAAAGCCGAAGAGCCAGCGCTGTCTGAAGACATTTCCGTGGTCATGTGGCCGGCATGACTACACACCAAGGCGCACGGAACGCTGTTACCTTCCCACCGAAGTGGTCCCTATTTATCTACTTGCAATTTCTTGCTTTCGAACTGCTAGGTTGGCAGGAGCTGGAACCAGAGACGGGAGCTCACTCCGTCATGCGGCACACTCGGGTCTTGAACTGCTGAACTACTGACCTTCCACAGCCTGCAGTTCAGCGTCTTAACCACTTGAGCCACCGCAGCTCCATTTACCTTTATTTACGTACTTCATTTAAACCCCACCTTCCTCCCTCATGAGGGCCCAGAGCGGCTAAGGCTGTTCTCCTCTCCTCCATTTTATCCTCACCACGACCCTACACGGTAGGTCAGGCCGAGGGGGCGTGACTGGCCCAAGTCACCCAGCAAGCTTCCGTGGTAGAGCAGGGAGTTGAACCCGGCCTTCCCAGATCCCAGCCCAACAGGGACTGCTACACCACACTGACTCTTACGACGGATTACGAAGGGAAAGCAATTATCAAATGCCGAAACAGTATATCACAATGGCCCCTGATGATGACCTTTATCAAGGCCCACAGCTTCTCTACCACCTACATACAGATGGCACCCAGCTTTACACGGGGCTGACTCCCCCCCCCCCCCGCCCCCCCTTCCCCCCCGCCTCTAATTCATACAAGTCTCCTTCTCCACGCATTAATCCTTCTTGTCTAGAATTCCTTCACAGAAGACCCTACACACACACACACCCCTTTTCAATCTCTCCTCAAAATCTCTGGCTAGCTTTCTTACTCCCAGCCAGTGTTCTCTCTAAGCTGAGTTAGAGTGAGCCAGCTCACAGTTTCTTAGCCTCCGGCACACACGTTTTTGTCTTCGCTCGGGAAGGGGTGGCTCCAGAGCAAATTGATTTATGCAGCAGCCAAATCGCTCGCTCACGACTTTAATGCCAGTAGCTCACAAAGTAGAGTCTTTGCTCGCAAGACTCCACAGTTTAGAGGGAGCACTGCTCCTAACCAGAACAAGGTCTAAGTATGTGTAATTTCCTTCCACCCATTCATACCTCTGCCTGCCCCATTCCACACATGCCTCCCCCTCTCGTTCTACTGCTCTTCCCTCTCCATTCCCCCTGCCCACTTAGTGGCTTCTTTCATTGTGGAGATTTAGACTGCAAGGTCCTCAGGAGAGGGACCCGCATTTACCTTATGGGGCTTACAGGGACTGCACACCCCGTGCAAACAGAAAAACAGTAACGGAGGGCCTCGGGAAACACTAACAAGAGCGGGATAATCTTTCAAACACCTGAAAAGTTAGGAAAAGTCAGCCGCGTGTAAGATACTGAGATGCAGGAATCCTGAAAACATTTCAGGCTCACTTTACGGAGGTACTAACCTGTGTTCCAGAGATAGGTGCAAAGGGATTGGTTGGCCTTAGACCTGTCTGGGTATAAATCATGGGCTGGGGTGCCATAATAGGAGTAGCTCCAATCTGAGTAGGTACCTGCATGTTAGCGGGATATAAGAAAGCCATTTAGTACCGGCCTGAACACCACAGCCCTGCCTAAAAAGGCCATGTGGTTGCCACGCGCACAGCAGAGGTCTTCGCCTCCTCCAATGAACTGCCAAAGTGCGTTAAGACTTGCTAAAGTCAAACCAGCAGTAAAGCTGAGCGCAGAATCCCTCCTGCAACAGTGGACAGTTCTGGGAGCCACTGAAGCCTTCTGCCGAGGGACCAGGACAGCAGTTTGCTACAAAAGTCAACCCCCATTTCTCAAGAGGCCGTCAGGCTCCATAAGGAGGACCACAAACCAGGGGCCAAGTTCTGGAGCACATGAGCTCAGACACAGCCTAGGCTTTGGGTTCCTTTGGGTATCACCTGTAACGTTCACTGTGGACAAGACCGCAACACATAAAGCATCCCCACCCCTTATTTATCGTTTAATTAATTTAAAACATTTCTACTCTGCACCTTTCTCCTCAAAGCTTTCAGGATAGGAACAAGACAGTTAAAACGATCGACCGAAACAAGGCAGAAAACAGTAGCACAGTCACCAAACCACAGCAGGAAAATATCTACAAAACGGCAACAAAAATGCAGCGATTAAAAGGTTAAAACGCTTCTCGAGCTGGTGCCTAAAAGGTAACCAGCTGGGGGCCAGTGAGATCTCTCTGTGGCAGGGGTTCCATGGAAGGGGTGCCACCACAGCAGAAGACCCTGCCACCTGCCTAACCGTGGAAGACGAGGATGCCTGGGAGAGGGCCTCTGAGACCCACCCTCAGAAGACATAACAGGTCTGCATGGGAGCCCAGCCAAGCCATTTAGATACGAGAACTCGTGGGCACTCCATGAAATTGCTGAGCAGTCGGGTTAGAATGGATAAAAGGAAATACTTCTTCACCCAAAGAGTGATTAACACATGGAATTCACTGCCACGGGAGGTGGCGGCGGCTACAAGCATGGACGGCCTCAAGAGGGAATTGAATAAACATATGGAGCAGAAATCCATCAGTGGCTATTAGCCACAAGGTATAGATGGGAACTCTCGGTCTGGGGCCAGTGATGCTCTGTATTCTTGGTGCTTAGGGGAGGGCAACAGTGGGAGGGCTTCTAGTGTCCTGGCCCCACTGCTGGACCTCCTGATGGCACCTGGTAATTTTGGCCACTGTGTGACAGAGTGTTGGACTGGATGGGCCATTGGCCTGATCCAACATTGGCTTCTCTTATGTTCTTATCAGCACTTTGGTCATGTGATGCCTCGTTGCAAACTAGAAGCCTGCAAATATCTTTCAGTGCTTACGGAATATGGTCTAGCCAGCCAAGCCCAGTGAGTAAAACTCGATTAAAAACTCCTTCAGGGCCAAATTAGACTTGCTGGCCACCAGTTAACCCTCTGACTCCAGTCCCACACATCACACTGCAGGGTGACAATGGACAAGACCAGGATGTGATCAACATGAAGGATGCATCAAAGAAAAGCTTTCAGGACTATTTGGCCACTGCTAACTAAGTGGCCTATAAAAATAATAGGCTACTGAATGACATTCAAACATTAAATCCCTACAATTAAGAACACAGCTAAGGTTGAGTGATACACAGATTATAAACAGAGATTGTCTTACCATTCCATACACAGGCACTTGAGGTGTATTCACTGGGTAGGTTACTGGAGCAGGTACCTTTGATGGTTTTTATTTCAAAAAGAAGGTTACGTGTAAGACAGCTACAAATTCAGCTAACAAACTCCCAAGAAACTGTACAAGGCCCATCTTACAGTATAGAGTATCCAAAATAGATGCCAGCCGTATAAGAAAATAACTTGCATATCTAGGATAAGTATCCCCCCAACCCCACCTCATTTTGGCCTGGCAGAAGGAGTAGGGACAGAATTACTAGAGCAAAAGAAATTAGTTTGAAGCCTAACTATGTCTGATCTCTCATACATTTTCATTCAGACAAGCAGCTCATACATGTGCTCATACATGGCTTGTGGCTGTGCTCATGCACGCGCTTCCCTTCTCCCTTCTCATACACGGCGGGATTAGGGACCCCTGGTCTGAAACGTACTCTCGGTCCCCATGATGCATAAAACGCTGGTGCCTGAATGAACCTTGTTCTCCCCACAAGATGGGGTTTTAAAACCTCGATCCCCTCTGCGGTTTAGGATCCTGACCAGCAGAGTTCTTACGTCATGGGGAATATTTACAAGCAGGCTCGAAAGATTACAGCCCCCCCCCCCAAGGAAAAAACAATTACCATCTGCGGAGCGGGAGGAGTAGGGACCGGGGTCCATGTGGTTGAGGTGCTCGTTTTCGCTTGCCAGTGGGTTCCGCCGGTAAGTTTCTTCTCTGTAGGCTGATTCCACTGCATGTCAGATCTAAGGATGAATGGCACAGCCGAGTGGTCACAAGGGGCAGAGCAGCCCCAAAGCTAAGCTGCTGCTGAGCGTAGCCCTATTACATTCACCACTCGCTTCTTCAACTCCCTTCACGTTCCGTGCCCCTGCGGTTTGACGCGAATGCTGCATACACCATCTACTTTATATTAACACCCCCCTCAGTTCTCTCCCCCCCCTTGTTTCTCGGACACTTCAGCAATGCTAACATGCCTGATTAGGCATGCAAAGTAACAGAATTACTCGCTTACACAGCTTTTAAGCTGGCAGTGTGACTGCCTCTAAAAACCCTTTGCAGGCAGAAACTCCCAAGTGGTGCAGGAAGACTTTCACCAGGCAAGGAAAACGCCCCATTCCAGCCTGGCTCAAAAGAAATCTTTTGCCGGCATGATTAAAGTTTGCTTGAACCAGGGGGGACGTTCGGTTTGCCTTCTTGGCGACATGATCCAGCAGCGGGTTGGTTTACACATTACTCCAAACACTGGCTGGGAGCCACATGATCAGGACCCTTTGTGCACATGCCGCCACAGATTGCAAGTTTGGGTGAACAGCACACTGTGGTTTAGACTACATCAGAAACTGCTCATTAATTCTGACCGTGATGGGGGGACAGGAAAGAAAAACACATAATGAAAACACACGGCATTCATATAGCATTCAGTGCTCAAAGTGCTTCATTTACAGGATCTCAGTAGTTCTGGCACCAGCTCAGTAAGGTAGGGCAGACATATTATCCCCGTATAGCAGGTGGGGAGGCTGAGAGCAGCACATTTAAGGACGTCTGGCAAATTCATGGCAGAAGTGAGACGGAGACGGCAGCCTCTCAGATCGCAGCTCATTTTTTTAGTCACAAAGCTATAGCAGCTCCATAGTTTGGTCTGAACCATTTCTGTCTGCAAAGCATACCTCAAAATAGGCTGTATCAAGTTTTAGAAGAGATTTATGCAACTTCAGACACAGTTTATTTGTAACACAAAGATTTCAATATTCGATGAAATATTTTAACACCTTCCACTTGGGAGAGGTCCTTCACTGAGTAACTGCAACATAGTATACTTGTAACCAGGGCTATTTTTGGGCAGGAACGCACAGGAATGGTGTTCCGGCTGGCTCCTGAGTTGGCCACACCCAGCAGGAACTCATTAGCATAACAGGCCACACCCAACATCAGAAACTCATTAGGATTGGCTACATTAGGGGTGTGTGGCCTAACATGCAAAGGAGTTCCTGCTCCAAAGAAAGCTCTGGGTTTTGACAACAAACAAGGTAAACAGAATAAGAAGCAAAGGGTGTGTGTGTGCCTGGATGACCACACTTCTGGTAACATGGGGGTGCGGCCTAATATGCTAATGAGTGTCTGCTGTTGGGTGTGGCCTATTATGCTAATGAGTTCCTGCTGGGCTTTTTCTACAAAAAAAAAAGCCCTGCTTGTAACTTTTGAATCTTTTAACACTTCAATACACACACATGGATTCTTCTTTAAGTCATGGGAGAGTGACAGTGCGGGGAACATTTCCCAAGCCTTCCATTGTGAACGCTCAAAACCATATAATGCTATTCCAGACTTGTTCATACTTTTTCTGCAACCAAAGGAGTTACATTTTTTGGTAGTTTGGCTAGTTTAAAATTTCGGTGAGAGTTCAATTGCTCTCAGAAGAACAGTTTCTGTTAACCAAGAAGTCAATTGCGTCGTTTTGCAAAGGTCAGCTGTAATGGAAAAGTCTGAGATCTATGGGAATGGATAGTGAGCAAGAAAGAAAGATCACGGCCACGGTGGCAAGGACAGGAACTCAAAATAACTGCAGCTGAACCTCTCTTAGAAAAGTCTATTCAAAAATTAAAATATTCCCATGAAAAGTACTCCCCGTGTAGAATTTTGTAACACCGGAACACAACCCTGCACTGTAATCGAAAAGGTAAAGCTGACAGACAAAACACATTTTACTGTTTTATAGAAACGGGGCTCCTGAAAGTACGGGCAAAGTCTGAAGAACCTCGAAGCCACTTCTCTGTGCTCAAGGTCTTGAGCTGGAGTCTCTCAATCGCCTTCCTACAGGCCAGAAGCCAACCCACGTTTGAAACTCAAGGGAGCGTCTGGAAGGAGGTGGGCACATCCTAATGTCAGGACCCACAGTCAATCACTTAGCACACACTTCCAAGAAGGTTTTACTTTATTGTGAGAACTATGGTAGCATAAACATATTCACTGTTAAGAATAACTAATACTAAGCCAACAGGTATGGATACAGTATACTCAAAAGGGGCCCACCCATCGATGGGCCAACTAGGCACTCTCCCGCAGGCGGGAAGAACCGTTGGTGTGTAGGCGAGGAAACGAAAGTGGTCCCACGGTTGAAATATGGGAAGACACTACACGAGCGAGCGAGCTACAAGGTGAGGTGTGGCTAAATCCTTTACTTTGAAGCCTGTCACATGCTAATGTGCTGTTCTACCTCTGTCTGTCTATACGTTTGAACTGCTACCTTCCATTCCAATGTATTTGCAAAAGTGTGCACGCACATGAAAGCTCGTAACATGAATAAACTCTTGTTGGGTCTTAAAGGTGCCACTGGACTCTAAATTTGAATCCTGGCCTGTATCTTTCCGTAATAACATGAAACACTAAAGAGCTAGATTTGAGTCAAGTCATACCTAGGGTTGCCAAGTCACGGCGGGGGGTCGTAGGTCTTCACAGAATCTTTGCCGCGGGGACGGCGAGACGCATTGCACCCGCCATCACCAGGATCTGACGCTACACGTCGCTCTGGCAACAGGGCTCCAAACAGCCCTGTTGCCAGAGCGACGCATAGTGTCCTGTCCTGGCGATGGCGGTGCAACGTGTCTCGCCGTCCCCGCGGCAAGGATTCTGCAAAGACATGCAGATCCCCCGCTGCGATTTGGCGAGATTTGGCAGGCCTAGTCACACCCTAGAAACCAACAAGATTTTCGGGGAAGAAGCTTCTAAGAGTCAAAGCTCCCTTTGTCAGATAGAGAGCTTTGACTCGCCGAAGCTCATTCCCCCAAATATTTGTTGGTCTCTAAGGTGGTGGCTCAAAGGTTAAGATGCTGAACTGCAGATCAGAAGGCCGGTAGCTCGGCAGTTCGAGACCCGAGTGCCGCATGACGGAGTGAGCTCCCGTCTCTGGCCCCAGCTCCTGCCAACCTACGAGTTCGAGAGCAAGAAACTACAAGTAGATAAATAGGTACTGCCTTGGTGGGACGTTAACAGTGTTCTGTACACCTCGGTGTTTAGTCATGCCGGCCACATGACCGCAGATAAGTCTTCGGACAGCGCTGGCTCTTCAGCTTGGAAACAGAGATGAGCACCGCCCCCTAGAGTCGGATTCGACTGTCTTTCGAGCAAGGGAAACCTTTACCTTTAAAAGGCACTACTGGACTTGAATCCAGCTCTTCTGCTGCAGACCAACAGGGCTGCCTGCCTGAAACTATGAAACATCACAATATCCCTTTTTCACTATAGCTTAACAAATGCAAGTTGAGGAAATTGTGAACACACAACTAAATCTAGAAGTGGTCTTTAAAAAAAAAGCTTACTTTTTGGATGGTGTTCCTCCAAAGCCAAGATCTGTAACAAAAATCACAAACCAAAAGGGTTTAATTAAGAAGTGGGAATACTTTATATAATAATTTTTTTTCTTCTTAAAAAATGAAGACATTGTTAACTTACTTCCTACTAGATTAGCGAGTGAAGAATCAAGGTCATTGGCCAAAATCTTTCCACTTTGTTGACCAATTAAAGCTCCTCTCTGACTCTGTACAGATGGTTGTAATACATCATCTGCAAAATTAAAGACTGGGCACAAAGGAAGAAAGAACAGAAAATAGTGTCACTGGTTCTCAATTAAGATTTTGGATTGTAAAGGCAGCAGATAAAGTTCCATCATCCAGAAATTCCCTACTCTGAAATTCCCATTTGCTGAACATCATAACGTGGATGCAAATGTACAGTTGCAGAACCAGTGTATGCATATAGATCTCCCTTCCTCCACTGGGATGTGTGCATTACATCCCAGTGGAGGAAGGGAGATCTATATGCATACACTGGTTCTGCAACTGTATATCTGCATCCACGTTTATGATGTTCAGCAAATGGTTTGAACACACAAGGGCTTTGCAGAACAATATAAGATACCTCTTTCTTGAATCACTGGACCTCATTTTGCAATCGAACCCACCCCACACACTTGTTTCTGCATGTGTGCATTTGCCAACTGATGAAACGGGCTTTCGGTCATAAAAGCTGGTACCACAATCCGTTATAGCATTTAAGATACCACACAGCATGGTTGTGATGTTGTTTAAGTATGTGCGTGTGCACCATTTCCTAAGAGCTGAAGACTCAGTCATGATCAATGTTCCCTCTAAGCTGTGGAGTCTTGTGAGCAAAAATTCTACTTTGTGAGCTGCTGCCATTAAAGCTGTGAGCAGCGAGCAATTCGGCTGCTGCATAAATTAGTTTGCTCTGCAGCCACCCTTCCTGAGCAGAGACAAAAAGGTGTGAGCCGGAGGCTAAAAAAACTGTGGGCTAGCTCACCCTAACTCAGCTTAGAGGAAACACTGGTCATGATACAAATTATTCCTTATTTATTTATTTTATTTATTTATTTAATTTATACCCCGCCCTCCCCGCTACGCGGGCTCAGGGCGGCTTACAAGGGCATACGCCAATATAAAACATAAGTAAAATCATTTAAAATCATCACAGTACAGATAACATTATAAACAGTTAATTAATAAGTGATCTGGATGTTATTTCACAAGATGGCATAACAGCTCTATATTATTATATATTATTAATCCTTCTTTTCTTTTGTATCCCTTATCATCACCTTGTTATTTAAAAATATTTTTAAAAATTTGAAGATACAAATTAAGCCAAACGTAGTGTGAGGTTAGATCTATGGTGGGGGGGTCACACGTGCAAGATAACGCGGGGGGGGGGGAAGCGAGGCTATTTCCCACGGAGGAATTTGACCGGCAGTTGCGCGATCACACAGTCCTTTGAAGCTGCGGGGGCAGCCCGCCACCGCATGATCAGACACAACCGCAGGTGAGTCGGGGTTGTGTGTGTGTGTGTGGGGGGGGGTTGCAGTTTGTTCCCGTTGAGCTGAAACGGGGAATCGATGAATCGCGTCTCAGCACTGAGGGCTCCCTATGCAGTGTGCGATGATGCGCATACTGAGAAGGGGGGAGGAACAACGGCACGGAGTCAGGATGGCCTGATCAGACCATCCCGACACCATGAGCTCGCGCTGGAGTGATCAGACAGGGGAAAGTCCATCCGTGGCCCGTCGCAACCCGTTTGCTACTGGACTTTCCCCGGTGTCTTTTTACTCCACTTCTGCAGCGGAGCAAAACAGGTTGCCGATGGGTGCGAGGTGCTTCCCAGATATTCGTGTCTGATTGTGCCCTTTAAATCTGCCCAGCATCCGCGCCTATGGTGCGGCTAATTGTGAGTATGATCGAGACCGTAATTCCTCAAACAAGGATTCCAGACAAAATTCTAACAAGTTTCTGAAATGCAATATTTTTGCTTCTAGTAGGTTACAAGCTCCCTTCACCTACAAATATTTAAACTGTCATCAACGCACACAAAACCTTTTGCGCAGAGCTCAACTTCTCCTGTGTATTTTATTGTCTGGAACCTGCTATTCCTTGGAGATGTACAACCAGAGAGATAAAACTACTCCTTCTGCAAATAATACCCCCTTCCTCCCAGAACCTTAAACTGTTACCAAAAAAACCTTATCAGAATTAACAGTGAAAACATTTTATTGAGGGTGGAGTATAAATCCAATCTCTTCTTCTTCTTCTTCTTTTTCTATATAACACCCACCATTATTGCCATTTCATTTTTTAAAAACTGAACGAGATAATTAATGCAATCCTTAGCAAAGTTACACTGCCTTCAATGGACTTAGAAGGGTGTAACTCTGTTTAGGACTGCATTGCATATTTTGTCTGCATTGGCCGCACGTAATTACCGCTCCCACCCCTGTTTCCTGCTTTAAAGATGAAATAAAAATCTGAGCTTTCAAAATTTGCACCTCTTCTATTCCTTCCAACTCTTCTTAAGGGGGTAGAGCTGGACTACATAAACTTTGGTAGATCAGCTCCAAGCAAACTGTACATTTCATTTTTCCAAAATGTTTTAGCCACAGTTTCAACAAACAGGAGGAATCACAGAGCCTGCAGTTAAACTACAAGTTTGCAATTACTTTTTTAAAACTTACCCAATAAAAAAAGCCAAGATCCAGAAGGCCATATTGGAAAATTATACCCAAAAGACAAAAGAAAAGGACAATTATAATGTGTGTTAAATTAATAAACTCCAAGTGTAAAATGCCCCCACCCCATGGAAAAAGTATTTTAAAAGCCCACCTAGTCTGCACATTTTGAAAGCTTTTAATTATAAACTGGTGAATTTTTGTAGCTGATTTCGTTAGGTTTAAAAATGCTAACACAAGCTGTGATCACACATACTAAACAATCCACTTTCAGTCCACTTTCCAACTGGATTCTGCCAGTTCACACAATAAAATCCAATTGGAAAGTGGACTGAAAGTGGATTACTTAGTGTGTGTGGTCACAGGCACAGTGCAGCACATAAATCCATTTAAAACCAGAAGCCAAATTAAATCTACACACTGTGTATGGAGTACAGAGGAAGACAGGAGAAGTGAGGGTAACTGAATAGCAAGTCAGAAGGGAGACAGGTCAGCCCAAACTACTTTCCGCTCGTCCCCATTCTTGCTGCTCACCTATAAGACATTATGGATACCCTCCCCAGCAAACCCCCAGTACAGGCTCTGCACACCAAGAGCCACTATCAAGGGAACAGCCAAGAGAGGAGCGGTTCTGTTGGGCGCCACAGGTGAGTGGGGAGAGGTTTGGGGGAAATTCACCAGACTGGTTTACCCCCCGATTTCAACCCCTTCACCAGCTGGTATCCTGTCCTTGGGTGCTGTCATGTGCTCAAGAGGACAGGTAGCAACCCAAAGTTGTAGAGCACGGAGGACCACACCATAAAGCTGAAAGACAGCTGCTAAGTTCCCATATTCCCAAAAGCCTGTGCAAACTTGCTTAAAACATGCGATGACTTCTGAGTCACAGCAGGTGGGCTACAATCACACTTCGGGACCACTCGATAAATTAGAAATGGCTGTTCGCAAAATATTAGGTTGCAGGAGCAGAGATCAATTCAGTCTCAAGAACAGTATTTGTCGACAAAAAAAACCTAATACACCTTTCAGCACATATGTTGCACGAAACGGAACAAATGGACTTGAACTGCAATCAGATGAACACAGAATTTTAAGTAGTGAGAGGTCAGAGCCCCAAATCAGGCACCGAGGTTGGAGGTCATACAAGCTTTAAAGCATTTCATGGATTTCTCATTTTTGTTTCTGAATCTTCAGGTCATGCTTCTTAATGATTGAGGTTTATAAGATTATAAGATTATGCATGGGATAGAGCAGGTTGAGAAAGAAGGCCTCTGAGACCCATCTCAAAAGACATACAGGTTTGCATGGGAGCCCAGCCAAGCCATTTAGAACTTCAATGCTTAAAAAAGCCACTAGAAAGAACACTTTCCCTAATCCCTACGAAGGAAGGTTAAAGTGCTTGGGGCTCTTTAGCTTGGAGAAACAACAGCTGAGTGACATGATCAAGGTTTATAAGATTATGCATGGGATGGAGCAGGTCAAGAAAGGAGTACTTTTCTCCCTTTCTCACAATACGAGAACCCGTGGGCATTCCATGAAATTGCTGAGCGGTCGGGTTAGAACGGATAAAAGGAAATACTTCTTCACCCAAAGAGTGATTAACACATGGAATTCACTGCCACAGAAGGTGGCGGCGGCTACAAGCATGGGCGACCTCAAGAGGGAACTGAATAAACATATGGAGCAGAGGTCCATCCATGGCTATTAGCCACAAGGTATAGATAGGAACTCTCAGGCTGGGGCAAGTGATGCTCTGTATTCTTGGTGCTTAGGGGGGAGCAACAGTGGGAGGGCTTCTAGTGTCCTGGCCCCACTGCTGGACCTCCTGATGGCACCTGGTATTTTTGGCCACTGTGTGACACAGAGTGTTGGACTAGATGGGCCTTTGGCCTGATCCATCATTGGCTTCTCTTATGTTCTTAAACCTTTGAAAGTCTATTTCCGAACTTTAGAGGAGATATAAAAACCTTCCCCCTTTTTTCCAAAATGGGGGGAAATGCCAGCATGGTGTAGTGGCGGGGGTGTCCTTTTACGGTCTGGGAGCCCCGGGGCTCAAACCCCCGCTCTGCCACAGAAGCTCCCTGGGTGACCTTGGGCCCGTCTCACCCTCTCAGCCTGACCTACCTCACAGGATTTTTGTGAAGATAAAATGGAGGAGAGAAGAGTATAAGTCACTTTGGGTACCCATTAGGGAGAAAGGTGGGATAGACATGAAATAAATAAAACAGACATAATTTTAAAAATTGAGAACTGCTTGTAATTCTGAGACTGACTATTCGCTAGACAACTAAATGATACCCCCGAGTCAGAGGCATGTCTCCCAATCACTAGATACTAGAGACCCCCTGGGGGGTTCGAGGGGGGTAGCAAGTTGAAATAAATAAATAAATACCGAGGGGAGGCCTTCAGCACCCACAGCTGAATTTACAGAGGTGTCTAACTAGCCCCTTCTGGACACGGAACGATGGACTAGGTGGGCTTTTAGATTGGTCTAGCTGGGATAGCCTTACAGATTAAAGACCAAGCAGTTTTTAAAAAAAAAATCTCTTCCAAAAGGAGTAGCAGTGGTCCCACATAACTAAATACTATAAACAGATAGCCTTATAGATTAAAGACCAAGCAGTTTTTTTAAAAAACCTCTTCCAAAAGGAGTAGCAGTGGTCCCACATAACTAAATACGATAAACAGACTTGCACATGCCACTGAAGAATTTTTAAAGATGAAGAAATTCAATACACAAGAAGTAACTTTACCCGCTGTGGTTCTAAACTCATGCACCGCTGATTTTCCACCGAACACAGCATCAAAGTCCACATTGATTGTTGAAGAGGCAGTTTTTTGGGATGCTGAATGAAGAGGATACCCTACAAAAAGTTCATTGAAACGATCAGAGCTAGAAGTGTAAGCATGGAACAATACATTTGAATTGTTTAAGACAACAGTTGCTATGAATATTTATAGAATACCATGAAAAGCAAGAAGCACAAGGCTCTCTAAGAATCACTAAAATCATTTTCACTGAAGGAAAGAGAGAGTAAAAACTTACTATAAGAGGCATAAAGCATCTAATGGATTAAAAAGATTGAGAAACCCCAATTACGGGTTTTTTTTAAGAAGCCCAGACTTAAGTCAAACGCTAAACATGCATTTCTGTATATTTACTACATTCATTCTGAATTCAGACTGAGGAACTACAATATACTTCTGAGCTGAAGTTCAGGCACATTATGATCATCATTATAAGTAACTAGTCTGAAAGAAAATGAGGATGTTTTTACCACTAAATAGTTCCACTGTTTGTTTGGAGTTTAACGTGGATGTCACAAAAGGGGTGGTACTTTTTACAGCTTCTTCAACGGGCTTCATGTCAAAGAGGTCCAGGTGGGGTGGAGACCCAACACAACCATTTGTGGATGAGAAAGGTCCTTTCAGACACAGCGTTAAGCAACAGGAAAAAGGGGAAAGAAGAAAAACCAGAACACAAGTAGTAGTCAAAGGAGAAGACACACTGAGCAGGCACAGCATGGGAGTTCACAGAAGCAGAACGTCAAGGATTCCACAACACTTTTGTGCATGCAAGTTTCTGCCCTGGTCTGGCTCCTTAAGGCCAAATGACACATTTTCCCCCTTTGCTATTTCCCACCTCCAGCAAAGCTGCTATTACTTGTGATAGGAGAAAGAGACAGAAATGCTAAGGAACTGAATCCTTACATGAAGATGCACTTCTAGGTCTTCCATCTGATCTGGTTACATAAATATACATAGCTGCCTTACACTGAATCAGACCATTTGTCCATCAAGGCTAGTATGGTCTACTTAATAATGGCAGTGGCTCTCCAGTGGCGGTCTCTCACATCGCCTACTGCCTGATCCTTTTAGCTAGAGATGCCGGGGATTGAACCTGGAACCTTCTGCGTGCCCAGCTGATGCTCTGCTACCAAGCCACGGCCCCCCTCCCATTGATTTCTCAGTCTAAAAATGCAAGGGCTTCTTCACACAAGGTTCTCCATTTGCCATGCGTATTCAGGTATCGCTTCCTCCTCTCAATGCAGTAATGGCAGAAATTGAACCCACACTTCCTCCCATGCACATCAGAGCACACGGAACAGTGAAGATTCGGCTGGTCATTTGTGTACCTGTCTAGAGTGGGGAGGGGGATTTGGAGAGTCCCAGGTCTGCCGCCCACTGAAATGAGGAACAGAAGGCGGTCCTGCCCAAAGATCCACTAAGGCATCCCAATTAGGAGAGAAGGTATTTTATTTACACACGGACACAGAGGAACATGAAGTGCACCTTGTAACAACAGCCGGCATGCCAGTACAAGGCCACCTCGGGCTCAAACAAAATTGAGTGTTACCCTTCAGGACTCCCACCCTCTCTTCAATGTTCCCTCTAAGCTGTAAAAGTCTTGTGAGCAAAAATTCTACTTTGTGAGCTCCTGGCATTAAAGTTGTGAGCAGGTGATCTGGCTACTGCATAAATTAGTTTGCTCTGGAGCCCTCCTTCCTGAGCTAAGACAAAAATCTGTGCGCTGGAGGCTAAAAAAACAGTGAGCTAGCTCACACTAACTCAGCTTAGAGGGAACACTGCTTCAGACCTGAAGCAGCCTCAGTCTGCAGTGGCAGACAGGAATTTATCCACTCTGGCCAAACGAAAGCTGCACTTCTGTGTGGCGTGCGTCTGTCTAAATTATATTACAGCTCTATTACTGAAGCACTTCAATTAAATTAAAATGATCGTATGGCGTTGTACGTAGCACAGTCGGGAGATTAAGTTTTTCTGGCAGCCTGAAGTTCTAGCTGCGAGCTAGGCTTGTTTGTGGGCTGAGAGAGCTCTGAGAGAGCTGTGACTGACCCAAGGTCACCCAGCTGGGCTTCATGTGGAGGAATGAGAACCGAACCCAGTTCTCCAGATTAGAGTCTGTCACTCTTAACCACCACACCATGCTGGCTCCCTTGGCACTTCAATAATTGCACACTAATCAAACCAAACTCATTCAAGGATGATTTTATGGGCAAAAGTGGAAAAACTACACCCCATCACAGACTGGATTTGGGCCACCGCCCTCAAGACTCACGACTGCATGAGTTTCATTTATTACGGAAAACAAGCTGCTAGCTATCTGGCAGTTCAGAGCAATCAGCAACAGCTACAGTGGACCAGCATGATCTTTTTCAAGAAATACGAAGTCCTTGAGATAAACTGGGAAACCAATTTTCTCTTTCCCCACCACCCCCATGGAAAAACTGGGAAATATGGGGGAGCACTGATTATTTTTTTTTTAGACGAAGTATAACATAAAACTAGGGCTGTATATTTGGGTCTACCCAAACCAAAAATATACCTGAAAAACACCTTATCTATATTTTTGGGGTATATTTTGGCTTCCCAAATGTATCCGGGCTTTCTCAGGAAAAAAAAAAAATGCCTCCCAAAATCCCGGATATATTTGGGGATTACTGGTAAATCCGAAAACGGAGGATCTGCTCCTGCCTCTCAGCTGTTTGCTGGGCATCTTCTGCAGTCCCTTTAAAGTTTAAAGGGACTGCAGAAGACAGCCCGAAGATCAGGATCGTTCCCACCAGCTCGGCTTGGGGCTGGCTTCTGTACTGGTATTGGGATCTGGCATTTTTCAGAAATACAATAGACCCAAACCGAAAAATACTGAATTTAAAAAAAAATTGCACGCCCCTACATGAAACATTTCATTTAAGACAATCTCCAGCATTCAAAATAATTCCTATGTAGATATATAGAAAGTATTTTCAAGCAATTTTGGCAACAATTAACCGGCTCTACTGTGCTTAAAAACCGTGAACTCTTCTTCAAAAAGTCTTCTTGTAGTTTACTTGATAGACAAATATGCTGCTAGTCATATTGCTGCCTGTGTGAAAATGTTTTTGTCCAAATAATGTACAGGTTTGAACCTAGCCGGCTTTTCCACAGGCTAAAAAAGGGAGGAAGGGGTTTCCTTTAACCATTTAAACTATGCTGGGGACCATGGGAACTACGTGGACAAAAGCCATCCGGTGAGGGGCTGTAGTAAGGAGGGGAACTGGGCGAGATTGTTTACATTACTTGTTTTCTAATGTCAACATTTATTATTCCCTTCCCTTGGGAAAAATTAAGATACACACTCTAAGGGAGCGTAAAGTGTAGGGTAAGGTATCGGGTATACTTGCAGTTTTGCTTGAAAAAAGCTAAAACGTTTATTCTTTTAAATTCTGCAAATATGCAAAGTAGCACAATTTATACCTGCTAAGTTATAAAGTATGTGTTTTATTTCAATAAAGCAGAAACTAAGTATTACATATATTTCAACTTCCCCCAATGTTTCCGTTGTGTATTTTCCCCTGAATTAAACTACTAAAGTTCTTTCCAATGGCTTCAAAATTTCTAGGAAGTTTTTGTCTCTAAGGGACCACCTAAATTTGCTTCTGTTCATCAAACCAGCCAGAAGAATGTCACTTTGAGGATCCTAATGACTGAAATGCAGTACGTAAATACCATATATATTATAAACACACTTCAATGCCAAACAAACAGGCCAGGATGAAGCAAGCAAAGCTAACCTGACAAATTCCTTCAAGACAAATTCCTTTAGGAGCGCAGCTGTAACTGCTGCAATATAATTCATACTTTTGTGACATAGCTCCGCATGAAGGTAAAAGGGATAGTCTAGACTTCATTGCAGCAGAGGATTTGTTGGGCGATCCATTATGTAGGCCTTAATTTGGCAGGGTGAATATCCCAAACTCCTAGGATTTCAAGGGCTGAAGCAGCTTTATGTTGCCATAACGGACAGTACCTTACCTCCCCAGGCACTGCTTGCTGAAGTTGCGATGGCTGGGGTACTTTGTACCGTTGGAACAAACGCAGGCTGAAGGTCAAAGAGATCAGTAGAAAGGTTGGGCATGCTGAAAGATTCAAGAAGTCAAGTTATAATTAAACAATGCAAGGTTTGATATTCTGCTTTAATATAAAACTATCTAACAGAGCCAAAGCTCAAACGGTGGTTCACTCTTGAGTACAGAGCCAAAGGCATTAGAGAGCAATTTTTGCAGGATAGATTTTATGTACTACAATAACAGAGCAAATATCTGTACACTAACAAGAAGCCCCAACCCCACTGACTCTTAACCACCTTGTTAACTCATTGTGCATGGGCTTTGATACAACACAGTTGGGGCTTGTGCTGACTGAAAAATTCTACTTCCCCGTAAACTGTAAAAAAGTTACACAACAGCTGTGATTGGCATGTATGTTCAGCAAAACAGTTCCCGCCCCGGGCCCTCTTCTGGAGGTTGAGGCTCAGGAGTGTGGAACAGTGAGCCTGAACCCAGGGAGGAAAGGAAGCAATGTCACAAGAGCACCTTATACTTGCCTTCTGCTGAGTCAGACTACAGGTCTATCAGAGTCAGTATTGTCTACACTGGCTGGTGATGGCTCTCCAAGACCCCAGGCAGGAGGTCTTTCACATCACCTTGTAACTGGATCCTTTTGACTGGAGATTAAACCTGCTGGGATCCTCTGCATGCACCACCCTCTCCCCCCCCCCCAATTTGGGTCTGGAGGGTTGGCTGGCTCCCTGTTCAGCCTCCAGGACCTAACCTCCAGAGATCCCACTCCCAATGCAGCTTCGAGTCTGAGGAACTCTCACGCCCTGGGCATTTCTGTCCCATTTAATGGCAACAGACACGCCACTTAGGTAAAGTGAAGCACTATCTACCAACTGCTCCTTTCCAGTTTTCCGGGATCCGGCGGGGCCAACAGGGTCCCTAGCCAATCACATGCTCCCTTACTGAAACCTTGGCAGGGCGGAGAGGAAATATTTATTTCAAGTTTCGTGAAGGTTTCTTTTAAGAGAAGCAGCACACGGGGTCAGATAAACCAGAAACTCGTGGATGGAAAATGGATGAACTGATGGAAGCGGAGGGATGGTAAATGTTTTAAGACAAATGAACGCTTTGAAGGGAGTGACTCAGTCTTAACCAGTCAAAGTGATTACGAACATGGTGGTGAGGGGGAGGAGAGTGAATATTTTCTCTTTTCTGTAAGTGACCATTCTAATTATCCAGTGCCTACGCACAGGAAATGACCCCACCCAGTTTCCTCATACAACTACAATACTTCTCTTTTTTACTTAAAAAAAAAATCCTATGGTTGAACCTTTGGCCTTACAAAGAGAAAAGTCAATTGATGTTGGTAACAACATTTAACTCGGGCGTGTGCTCCAGTGCCAACAATTTTTAACATGAAGAATTCCTCTGATGCTTATGAGCTTTTTGTACTTGCTTTTATACTGAAACATCCCCCCCCCTCACCTATTGGTGGTCGGGGCAGGTGTTGCAAAGAGGTCAACAGCAGCATTGGTATTCACACTCTTCCCTGATAAAGTACTTGGAGAGGCAGACGTAGAAGTCGAATTTGAGACCACGGAAATCTCTCTCAGTCGCTGCTCCTGCCGAAAAATAAAAAAGGGGGCAGGCAACACAGGGCGAGAGAATCAGAATGTGCGTTGCATAAGGCCTTCCGTATCTGAAAATTTCTCTGGGCTTCGTAATGAACCAGTTAGGTTGTATCCCGCAGCATTTATAGGTTAAAATCTGACAAAAGAATGAACAATGCAGGTGATTTCAAGGACCGGAGAGGGAGCATGAATGCTCAGGCCAGAATAAATGTTGGTAGCCTTCAAGGTGGCACGGGTCTGCTGTTTTGGTTTAAAGGACTGCCTTCTCCAAAATGAACATGCTATCAGCGGAGTTCTTTTTCGGCAGCCAAGCCATCTGATTCCCGATGCAGAGAAAGGGCATTCTCTATGGTGGCGCTTCATTGCTGTCACTTTTTCCTGCCCTCATTCATCCAGCATGCATTAATATTTGCATTTACTCAGGCTATTAAGAAGAGCTAAAAACAATTTTACTTCTATACGTTGTCGAACAGCTAGCTTTACTTCTGCTGATTTTACCTAAATCCTGGCTTGCCGATTTGGCTTTTTAACTGTGTGTTTAACTGTCTTCTGAGCTCCCCCGTGTCGCACTGCTGCAGCAGCACGATGCAGAAGTGGACTCAGAAGGCATTTAAAGGTCTTCGGAGTCGACTTCCATGGGCTGCTCACCAGTGTTCCCTCTAAGATGAGTTAGAGTGAGCTAGCTCACAGTTTTTTAGCTTCCAGTTCACACACTTTTGTTTCAGCTCAGGAAGGAGGGCTCCAGAGCAAACTAATTTATGCAGTAGCCAAATGGCTCGCTCGCAACTTTAATGCCAGTAGCTCACAAAGTAGAATTTTTGCTCACAAGACTTCACAGCTTAGAGGGAACATTGCTGCTCACAGACCAAGCAAACAAACCATGAACTCGGCTCCGGTCTGTGGAAAAGTTTGGTCCATGGTCTGATTCATGTCCATCCCTACTCCCATATCTTGAATGCCAGCCATAATTCATGTCCAAACTGGCCCAACATAGCTGAGAACAACGAGGACAGACAGTACAAAATAGAGCACACTATCACACAGTTCATTCAAGAAAAAGACAAGTCTTTCATTACAAATGGGGAAAAAATCCTGTACAATTCTAGCAAAACTCTGGGCAAAAATTCTGAATAACTGCAGAGGTAAGCATATAAGAAGAATGAAAGGAAGCAGCTGTCTTTCTTGGCCTATTCCAGAGTTTCTGGTGAACAGAACACGAACATGCTGAAACTGCAACTTTACTACCTACAACCCACTTCCCCATTCCATAGAGCGAAGTATAGATAGACAGTTACACAGTGACCCAGGAAAATCCTGCTGCTCAATCTGTCCCCACGGAAATCAGATGGGACTTTACAGTTCGTGAAGCACTTTAAGGTCACCGACCAGCTGAAACTTAAGTACTTTCGACTCCCGTTGATTCCAGCAAGGACAATCGTGCTTGGCTCTTTCCCACGAGAATCAGTGGGGCCTGAAAGTGGCAGGACCGCAGCCTTCAGATAGGAAGGTCTCAAACACAGAGAAGTCTTTTGAATCCTGATTCAATCATTAACTGACTAAAAGCTTGATCCAAACTTCACAAGGATCAAGGGGCCGCCTGTTCCCGTACAAAGCTGACCAACAGTTAAGGGAGGCCCCAGTGCCCGTTCCTCTGCTGTCAGGTAGGTGGGCACAACGGCACCCCAATTACAGAATCCCCACCGCAGGTCACTCCGTTGGCATCAGCCCTACTGAGTTTTAGGTGAAGACTCCTCTCTTCTCCCAGGTTCTTTTGTTTTTCAGTTCAGCATGACAGTTAACACTAACCCCCTCCATCTCCTTGTAAGGTAGAGGGTTCGGCGGCGGCGGCAACAGCGGCAACAATGGCGGCGGAGCAGTGGAGCCTTGGAGAGCGTGGTAACGTGCGGCGCAGCACGGCGGAGCCACCTGTGGACAGTAGCCGGAACTGCAGCCAACACAGAGCCACGTGCCAAGATGAGACCTGCCGGAGGAAGCTGCTCGGGAAAGATTGGCTCCAGAAAGGGCACCAGGATGCCAATATCTGAAGCCGCGGAAGGAAGCCGGATGACAACTAGCCCGGGGTGCTGGTAGGCAGTCACCACCCTGTAAACAATGTGGCCCTAGTTAGGTTAATTGGTTGGTTGGAACCACTATGTAAACCTTTGGGGTCAGGGCAGGATATATAAGCCGAAGGTATAAATAAATAAGTCAGTTTTTCTAGTGGCCCCTAAACAAGCTGATCCATCTAAAGGCTGGTTCAAGACAGACAAACCCAAGGGCATCACCTTTAGCGCTTGCAGTCTGGCTTGCTCTTCCTCCAACGCCTGCTGCTTTTCTCTCTCATCCATTCTGCTGAAGGACATTCCCGTATTGGCAAGTGTGGAAACGGCACTGGACAGCGTGCTTGCTCTAGAACAAAAGAGGCCCGATCAGAACGGCAACGTCCAAGAAACCACCCATTCACTGATCATCTTTTGACTAGAACAATACTTTGAAGGTAGCTGAGATTTTTGCCTAAGGGAAGACAGAGCTCAATCACACAAATGCTAGAAGGGAAGCCGTATTACAGACTGTTGCAGCAAGAACAAAAACGAAGCCTTGTGGATACCTAAAGAACCCACAGTGCCTCCTTCAGCTGAAGTGGGCTACAGCCCAAAAAAGCTTGTGCCACCACAAGCCTCCTTTTCATTTTAATCACGCTCATTTTTCCAAATCCACAGGGCAAAGAAGCATTAAGGCTGCTGTCTTAGGCAGTCCCCCTGAAGTTAGCTAGAGCCGGCATAGAAGAATTACTTTCATTTGCATCCTTATTTTCCTCCGTGCTTCTCCCCCCCGCCCTTACAATTCCCCCTCCCCCCAGTAAAGTGGACCAGACAAAAAGATCAGGACTGGCCTCAGAGCACCCAAAGAGCTTCATGGCTCAGCAGGGTTTTGAACCCGGGCCTTCCTGGTCATAGTCTAACCATACTGGCAGCACTTTGTAGCCATGTTTACAGGAACACCCATTTAAACTCATAAAGGGGGGGGGGAGGTTTTGACAACTACCGTAACATTTTTGTCTGCCACAACACTGTGATTAGGTTTAGAGCTGCTCTGCGATACAAATGCTTGATCCAGCTTGCCTAGTTACCCAGAATCAGGCTTGGGCAGAGGTTGGAGCAGGAGGACTGCAGCGCACATTCCTCCCGCGCACTCCACCACCACCACCTCTAGGCATGTTCACAGTCCTCCCACTTAGAGTACAGGTGATACCAAGCACGGACAGCTTCAAGAGGGAACTGGATAAACATATGGAGCAGAGGTCCATCAGTGTCTATTAGCCACAAGGTATAGGTAGGAACTCACAGGCTGGGGCAGGTGATGCTCTGTATTCCTGGTGCTTGGAGGGGGGGCAACAGTGGGAGGGCTTCTAGTGTCCTGGCCCCACTGCTGGACCTCCTGATGGCACCTGGTATTTTTGGCCACTGTGTGATGGAGTGTTGGACTAGATGGGCCACTGGCCTGATCCAACATTGGCTTCTCTTATGTTCTTAACAAGATGTGCGAGTTATCAAGGGAAGGGAAAGGAGAAGTAGGACATTCCCTCTTTCATCAGATTCCTGCCCCCCTCCTGCCTCCTTCCCCCTCCCGTAGGAACAGATGGCAACAGGTGTGTTGAGAATGGATA